CACACACAAATTTTGGGGTGCTCCCCCCAGCCCCCTCCCCAATTTGGGGGTCCCCCCTCACCGTCCACCACGTCGGCTTTCTCCACGTCCCCCCGGCTCCGGGGGTCCCCGCTGGGGGAGCCCCCCCCGTCCACGATCGTCACCTGGGGGGGGGGAACGGGATTTTGGGGGGCTCAGCCCATTTTGGGGGGTCCCAAATCCCATTTTGGGGGGTCCCAGATCCCTTTTAGGGTCCCAAATCCCATTTTGGGGGGTCCCAGATCCCTTTTAGGGTCCCAAATCCCATTTTGGGGGGTCCCAGATCCCTTTTAGGGTCCCAAATCCCATTTTGGGGGGTCCCAGATCCCTTTTAGGGTCCCAAATCCCATTTTGGGGGGTCCCAAATCCCTTTTAGGGTCCCAAATCCTTTTTGGGGGTCCCAAATCCCATTTTGGGGGGTCCCAGATCCCTTTTAGGGTCCCAAATCCTTTTTTGGGGGTCCCAGACCTTTTTTTGGGGGGCACAAAACCCTTTTGGGGGGTCCCAAATCCCATTTTGGGTGTCCCAGACCTTTTTTTGGGGGTCCCAAATCCCATTTTGGGGGGTCCCAAATCCCATTTAGGGTCCCAAATCCCATTTTGGGGTCCCAAACCCTTTTTGGGGGGTCCCAGATCCCTTTTTGGGGGTCCCAGATCCCTTTTTGGGGGTCCCTGATCATTTTTGGGGGTCCCAAATCCCTTTTTGAGGGTCCCAGACCTTTTTCGGGGGGTCCCAGATCCCTTTTGGGGGTCCCAAATCCCATTTTGGGGGGTCCCAAACAGCCCAGTTGTGCCCAACCCCATTTTTGGGGTGAATTCCTGCACTTTAGGGGATTTTTGGAGTTTTAAGATCCCAAATTTTGGGATTTTGGGGTTTTCAGGGTCCCAGATTTTGGGGATTTTTGGGATTTTGGGTTTTTTGGGGTGTTTTTTGATGTTTTTGGGGTCTCTGACCTGCTGGCACTGCCCAGAGAGACCCAACACCTGCACCCAACCCCATTTTTGGGGTGAATTCCTCCACTTTAGGGGATTTTTGGAGTTTTAAGATCCCAAATTTTGGGATTTTGGGGTTTTCAGGGTCCCTGATTTGGGGATTTTGGGGTTTTTGGGGTGTTTTTTGATGTTTTTGGGGTCCCTGAGCTGCTGGCACTGCCCAGAGAGACCCAACACCTGCCCCCAACCCCATTTTTGGGGGTAATTCCTGCCCTTTAGGGGATTTCTGGGGGGTTTTTTGGGGTGTTTTTTGATGTTTTTGGGGTCCCTGAGCTGCTGGCACTGCCCAGAGAGACCCAACACCTGCCCCCAACCCCATTTTTGGGGGTAATTCCTGCCCTTTAGGGGATTTCTGGGGGGTTTTTTGGGGTGTTTTTTGATGTTTTTGGGGTCCCTGAGCTGCTGGCACTGCCCAGAGAGACCCAACACCTGCCCCCAACCCCATTTTTGGGGTGAATTCCTCCACTTTAGGGGATTTCTGGGGGGTTTTTTGGGGTTTTCAGGGTCCCAGATTTTTGGGATTTTTGTGATTTTTGTGATTTTGGGGTTTTTTGGGGTGTTTTTTGGGGTCCCTGACCTGCTGGCACTGCCCGTAGAGGTCCAGCAGGACGTAGCAGGGGCTGGGCACCCCCCCGGCCACGGCGCCCTGGTCGCGGCCGTTGATGAAGAGGTGAAGCCGCGCGGAGCCGTCCACGAGGAGCCCCAAAACCGTCCCCGCGGGGAGCAGCTCCAGGCTGGGACCCGGGAGATCACGGATCTGGGGAGAAAAACGGGAAATTTGGGGTTTTGGGGGAAAAATTGGGGATTTTGGGGGCAAAAATGGGGATTTTGGGGAAAAAATGGGGATTTTTTGGG